TCTTACAACAGTGAACCCAGCAGCTGGGCACAGGGTATATAATGCCACATTCCTATCGCCTTCCACAGCTCGGATTCCTTTACTTTATTACTCAGCCGGAACACCCAAACTGGGAACCCCCAGATAGAAAACCCAAAAATCACAGGGATCCCATATTTCCCACATGATCTATACTGTTAAGTTCTTATACTGTCGAGTTGGGAGTGCCTAGCCCAGGGTCCATGCAAGGACAATAAACAGCTACATGTTTTTTTTTTCTTTTGTTCGAGTATTTTATTTCACTTTGGAACGGTTTTTGGCAAACCTCTAGTGAACAGCCAACAACAACAACAACGAAAACAGCAATAACAGCAACAATAACAACAACAACGACAAAAACAATGACAACGACGACAACAACAAAAACAACAACAATAACAACAACAGCAACAACAACATTTACAAAAACAAAGCCTTCCACATCTAAGCAACCGAAAAAAATCCTGAACAAAACAAAACTTTATAGCTCTGCTGCATTCACAATACCAAACATAACAATGCAGCCATTGCGCTCGTTCCCCCCCTCCCCCCCTCCAACTTTCTTCCTCTCCCTCTTCCCAGCTGCAAGACGTAATCCTCTCCATTGTACGAGAAACAATTAAAGAGGACCCTCAATCACACAATCTTGCAATTAAACAATCAAAATGCTATAAAAAAAACCTGCCCACAAAAAAGGAACAATCAAAAGAAGAAACAAAACAGTAACAACAGATGCAGTTTTCTTTGGTATGCCAGCTCCGCAGCTCTATCAGTTGTGATAATACGTTTTCTCAGGGGTTCCTTGACACCCTGAGATCCACCTTTTGCCTGGCCTTCCTCTTCCTTTATAGCCTGAGTGCTTGGTGTTGTAGGCTCTCGAGGCTGGCTGACCAGGTGACATACGTAACAGGTGGCCAAACCATTTATTTATTCTCTGTCTTTCTATGTAATGCAGGCAGAACTCGATGCCGATAGCTGCTCTTGCTTTTTCACATCTCTGCTTGTCTCGTCTTGTGAACACTTTCAACACAGTAGAAACAGACAGCCATGAATAACAAACAGGATTATTGAGTCATGACTGTCCTCGCAACATAACAGGCAATTGGAGCCCATCCTTTAAATACAAGGAGAAAAACAGATTTCAGTCAAAAGGAAACTGTTAACAATGACAATAATGTCAATATTTGCCGAAGGAAAGAAAAGGTAGGCGTCTCCCATCTGAAAAGTCAACACATTTCCATTAATTCATTTGGGGACGCGCTTTCTGGTGTTTGAGGTGCGCTGGGTTTTTTTTCTCTTTTCTTTTTTTCTGAGCACTTTAACAACGAAGCATAACTTCCTTATTCACACTGATTCTCCAATTCTGATTTTGTACATCTGAAGCTTTGAAAGGCAGGTCATAACATAAAATCTACATACATTGAAATACAGGGTGATTTTTTAAAAAAGCAACCCAAAAATTTACTTTTCTTTTAGGTGAATATTTTCCTCGACCCTGAAATTCAGTGAAATGTTGCGTTTCAAGTTGGAACACAATATTTGAAAGTCAAAAGGAATTTGCCTGATATTCATTTTAGATAATTTCAAAGAATAGTTTTGCTCTAGATGGCGCATTTTTTAAAAAAAACAGCACATGTTCAACCTTTGTTTAAAAGCCATTTCCTTTTTAAAAATAAGTTTCATCTTTATGAATATTACATCAAACAAATTCCTTTCGAATGAATTATGTCAGTTCAAAATTGCATCATTCTAGAACAATTTTTGCGAGATATTAAGAAAAGAGTTA